ATCCTGCAGTGAGCTGACACAGCACGTTTGAATGACAAAATTTGACAGACCATTATGGGTATGCTGGCTGTATTCATATAATCTCACACTTTCACATGCTCCAAAACGGTGCAATGTCTTGGTGTGCTCATGGGAACACAAAAACAGGTGCTGGTGCATGACTAGTAGTACTCATCTGTAGTCTATGTTGTAATGAATGTTTTGGCCAAAAATCCAATCGCTGCACCTGGCATTCTCTTTGTTTTTTCGTAGAAAAGACTCGCCTTGCTGACCCAGTGACTCCAACCATAGAAACGGACTGCTTGCAAATTTTGTGATACATATATTGATTGATGATTGTTTCGCATATTCCTTGAGTGATGGAAAAATTTCTCAAGTTGCGTTTGTTCAGTTCTGGATATGATTTGAACGCAAAATGGTCTGACAAAAGGCTAGCGGAGCGGGCTTAGCGAATTTTTGTTCAGACCAGGCGGAGACGCTTGCGCGAAGCGTATTTGCGTTAAAGAAAAAAAGAGAGGGGAAGCTGTTTGTCGACTTCCTTTGCATTTGCTCATGAATGTTTTCTTTCCACATGTTGTTCCACATGAGGTGCAATTTCCATGCTGCGCTGTGCATGACAATGATTTGGGCATGTGACTTTGGTTGCTCATGCGTGGCTGGTGTGCCACTGAAATTTTTCACCCACCCACCCACCCACCCACCCACCCACCCTACAGAGTGGTGTTTCACAAATGCCCATTCGGTTTTTGTATAGGAATTTCTCAAGTTGCGCTTGTTCATGTCTGGATATGATTTGAACGCAAAATGGTCTGACAAAAATCTTTTTATTGCCTTTTCGCATGCATACGTTTCTGTAGCTTCAGGCCCAGCAGCATCTGCAGCACGCATGCATGAACTTTTCATCCGCCCGCCACACCTTGTTAAGTTAAACAAACCTGGGCTAGCCAATGTCTGCATGGGGCTCGTCCGGGGCTTGATACGGGGCAGGGTTGTCAGCAGGTTCGCAAGACCTTTCCCATCCGCACAAACGTGCTGTTCCGAATCGATCGAATATTGGAAGCACGGGAGCGCACATGCTTCAGTACTATATTGAAGCATTACAGCGGAAGCACGCTGAATTTGCTGGATGTAGCAAAACTATCACAAAAGATCATACAGAAAAAAACGTTTTATTGCAAAAACTGTCGATAGGGGCGCATGTTGCGTGTTTTTCTCGGGGTATTCCGGCTTGCAATTCTTTCGGCCTTCCAGGGCAGGATTCGCAATGTTTAGTACATAATTTGGATGACTGTTTGTGTTGTTCGCCTTGTTCGTCAGCCTTAGCTCGATTGCTTGCAGACGGTTTCCAGACATGGCAGGAACAAATAGCGGGCCTGTCAACAATAAATTCCAAAGGCAGAAATGCCATTCGCCCAATTAGACGCATCGACGAGTAGAAATAATGCGCACACTTTCGTTCCTGTTTCATGCACAGATGTGCGGAGTGTTGGGTGTGTAGATAGTTGCAATTGCATTGCATCGCCATGGTTGAAAATGCAGGCAGGGATTGCGAATCGTTTATGCACTTTGTTGTGCAGTCGGTGCTAGCATGTGCAGATGAGTTCAACCTTTTCACCAAATGGTGGCTGTGGCCCCAGCGCTGCCCACGTTGCATTTCTGTCCTCAAGATGGCATATGATCAAGAGCAATTTTTCTTCTCACAGGTTTTACGTCGTCATGTTCTTGGTGCTGTATGCTTTTGTGGTCGGGGCGCTTGTTGAACAAATGGTGTCTTGTTTGGCAGTGGGCGACTAGAGACGAATTGGCTTGTCTCTCACGCAGGTGGCAGTTCATTTGTTCATTGATTACCGGCAATGGGAGTCTGACCGAGCCGCATTCTTGGCACATGCTTAATTAAACACAATCATGGTGCTCAAGCACGTGCTTGAGCGCTGTGTTGGCTTTGTTGTTTTTTGTTGTGTACCTGCAAGCAGGTGAAACTCATGATGGAAGAGGCTCGAACGCCAACAAAATCAGAATGCCACGTTTAGGGCTGCCAGCTATGTTGCATGGCAGGCAGGGGTCACGGTTCCAGCCGCTAGCTCATCAAGGTGCTAGCGCCTGATTGAGCTCCCAGATCCGGTTGCGGGAAAGAAGATGGTGACAGGGAGCCTGAGACTGCACAAGCTGTTCCCATCTCAGCATGCAAAGACTTCTCAGCACCAGCTGCAAAATGAACATCGCTGAGAGAGTTGCTCAATACATATTTGCATTTTTCTCAACCTTGGGGTCAGCTGATTGTACTAGGCGAAGAAGGACCAGTGACATCTATGAGGATGCAGGCGTGTGATGCAGCATAGCCAGGTTGCCTGCGGTAGTTCTCTCGGACGTAGACCGCTCCTCGCGATGCAGTGGGCAGAAATAATGGTAGGTTCCCGGTTCCCATATCAAAACTTTACTAATGTAACTTTATCATGTTATCTTGGATACGACCCTGCTCAAGATGCGAACCCTGATTGCGTCAACTCACGATGCGCAAGCACAGGCGGCGATTCTCACTGTTGACCAGCTTTCCGTCTTGTGGCGCCAACATGCCGAACATGCTTTCACCTGAAGTAGCATTTCAGTAGCCTTGGACACTCTTAAGAGTCCAAACATAGAAGGGCACCCCGAGTGGTGCAGCTTCTGACGCGCTGTCGTGTGCTTCTTCGTAGCCTGGGCATCGAGATTCGGTGGACCGAGATCCCAGGTCCCAGGCAACAAAATAGTAGCAGATGGCAGACCTTTGGCAGCAGCAGCATAGCTGGCCCAGTGGCAGAGTTCTTTTGTGCCACTCTTTTCAGAAATCATCTAGGTGCAAGAACTTTCGTGGAAGAAGAAACGCGGAAAAGGATTTGACTCTTGAGCAATGATCAGTCGGCAGCCAAATTGTCGGACGCTTGTCTCATAGGATGCATTGGACATATGATGCATGTATGCCTGTGTATTTCTCCGAAATGAGTTTGCCTCTAGCTTCAGTTGGTTTGGGTAGCTCAGAAGATCGGTGCAATGGCCACCGAGAGGAAAGCTTCTCGGCAGAATCGGTCATGTAATGATTGATTTTCGAAAGCCCTGCCTTTCTGTTACAGTGAGTATCATGATATCGGAGCCCAGGTCCAAATCAAGAATGCAGACATGAATGAAGTCTTGCAGGTTGAGGTGGTGGAGCTTGCGAAAACAGCAATGGACAGGTTCAACACCGAAAAGGACATTGCCAACTTCATCAAGAAAGAGCTGGACAAAAGTCACACGCCATTCTGGCACTGCATAGTGGGCCGAAACTTCGGGTCTTACGTTACGCACGAGACCAAGCACTTCGTGTACTTCTATATCGATGAGTTGGCAGTCCTTGCCTTCAAAGCAGGATGACTGTGCAAGTTCATTTGAGGTTCATTCCTCAGGTCGAAAAATGTCGAAAAATGTGTGCCGCGAAGCTGGATGGTAGTGTTTCACCTCCGGGCAGTTCGCTGACCTGCCTGGCTGTAAGATCCCAAGAGTGGAGCTCCAGAAGGCAGTGCTGTTGTAACAAAACGCTGAAACACGAATGCTAATGCTGCTGGTTTATTGACATCGATGTGTAACAAGTCGGCTCCATGGAGTTCTACTCCCAGTGCGAGTCACTACGCAGAGGACCAGGGAATTCGCCAGCGGACTTGTGGCTCAAAAAATGCTGTTGTCCAATGCTCCGCCTTGTAGTGCATACAGTTTCGAACTAAGATCAGATCAATGCCCAGACGCAGCGAATTTGGATCGAAGATGGCTTGTAGTAGGCGCCAGAATAGATTCTGTTCAGGATCACCTCATGGATGGCCTCGGGCGGGGTTAATCGGGCTCAGCTTTGGTATTATCTGGTGCTTACCGATCTCATTTGCCGGGTATCATGGACGGCTACAGCCAAGGAGGGTCAACATTGCAGCCCAGGCTCAGCGACGGATAGTGCGATGCCCGGGTTGCGGCCAGGCTCAGCGGAAGGACTGCGACGGAAATGGCCGCTTGCTAGGCGGCATCGCACAAGTGTTCGATGATTCCCCCGTGAAGGCCTACAGGGTTTGCCCTCGATACAAGGGCAGGTACCAAAGGCGGGGTCAGAAGTTTGACAACCTTTTTGACCCCGACGTTGAAGGCAAGGAGCGCAACGCTCTGTTGGAGGTTCCCGCCACCTGGCGCTCACTGACAAAGATTCGGCTGCGGGAACTTCCAGACGTGGGTTCCAGGCCAACAGGTGAAAGCCTTGGCCCCTATGAGAGTTTTCAGGTTGAAGATGTGATTCGGAAAGATGGCCAGCATTTTTTGAAACTAGCCGGAAAGACGGGCTGGGCATTTGATCGTGGCATTGTGGGAGCCTGGGATGGCAAACCCATTTGTGAACGCTTGGGCTGATCAAACCAGTAACTACTCCGCTTGACAATCCAAACCAAACTCTCACAGCTGTAAGTATTTACATGGACGAAAAAGCAAGGCTCTCGAAGAAAACACGCAACGTTTCACCATCAACGGATTGGAATATAGGTTTCACGGCGGGGCAGAAGGCGAGCTTCACCAAGTTCTCCACCGAGCTAGCACGTTAATGGTGCAATTATTGTCTGAAATTTTCGGGCTGTGCGAGTGAGATGGTAGCCTGCATCGCTCAGAGAAATGGGCATTACTCGAGTTGAAGTAATGCAAGTCATATCTCTATTGCTTTATTGCACTGCAATTATGCGCTTGTTTCTAAAGGCCTACAGATTGTATACTGCATGACATGCTGCAAAATTGGCTCAAAGCTGTCTGGCAATAGTCGAGCAAAGAACCTACCACAGCTTTGTAACTTTACTACTTTATCCATGATTGTGGCTTTCTCCTGTAGAGACATGAACAGCGCAGCCCACCATAGTCCACCATCATCCCCAAAATAACCCGTGTAATCGCCTCATCGTCGCAGCTGTGCCAGAGCCTGTTCAAGGCTGACCGGCAAGCTTCCGGCCAATCTATATGATGTGGTTGAGCACATCTTTGCTTGCGACGATGTTTGTGTCATGACACTCTTTTTGAATTCTTGCTGGGATTCACAAGAGTGCAGCCGCTGTGCAGGCTTGCCATGGGGAACAAGATCTTGACACAGTGCCCCTGCGCCGTTTGAAGTTTCATTAGTATTCTAATGACCTGCTCAAGCTGATGGGGAATGGGGAGGTATGACGTGCAGAAGGAACCTTGCTACTACAGCCTGGCGCTCGGAGCCCAGCAATGCTGTCAATCAGGGTAGAGTGACTGGCAGGCCCGGAACTTCGATGGAAGCTCCACACAGCGAATTTTAAGGCCATGTTGTAGCCTAGACATGGTGTTGAGGCTGCAATCACGCACTGCCCGTGATCAGGAAAAGCCGGATGAAAAACTCACTATCTTTCTTTTTGAAAGAAAGGTGATAGAGAAGTTGTTGACTCAGTTGCACTGATCTGCCAACTGTGCCGAAGGGGGGCTCTTGCATTCTTCCAGCTTAGGTATGCCAAAAACGCGAAAGAGCAGATAGTGGAACTGCTAAAAAAGGTCCGCTCTAGCTGCAGTGTGTCAGCATCCCATCCTAGTTCCGCGACAGCAACACATAGAACACAGGTAAGCCTGATTTGCAACGCGAGCATGATGCCAGGACGCAACAAGTCTACAGCGGCTTCGCCACCCGCATATCCTGAGTGTCATTGAGGTCCGCAGCATCCTCTCCAAGCTTCCTGCTTTTTTTGACTTTCTGCTTTTTTTGAATTCCTTTTTTTTGACTTGTTTGAGTATTCTTGATTCCATGGACGAGTGCAGGCAGGTTTTTTGAGGTTCCTTCGGCATAGTTTCTGTGATCCTTTGCTACACCATGCTACACCATTGGAGAAAGTGCAGAGCAGCAGCACCTACTCCCATGAGCCTGGCGGCTTCGTCACTGCTTTGACCTCCCAGAGTTTGGGAGATTTGAGTTAGCAAGCCGCTCACACGCTCATCTCAAGCATAGCTGGAAGCCGGAACACTTTCTGCCTGCAGCTCTACCGGGCGTCAGAGGTGAGAGGCCTTTGCAGCAGTTCTTTGGTCGGGCTCTGTTTGGTTGGTGTTGTGATTTTGGTTTTTTTTCTCAAGTTAACATTCCTTAAAGAAAGGTTCCACGTGATCTCCTTAAAATGCCTGCCTAGGCTCACTGGCTACCCCTTGTGTTGCGAAATCCCCATGTGCTCGCCGGAAGACAAGCTTTGTTTGGCATGCTTCTGCTACGGCAACTTTGGAGAAAGTGCAGAGCAGCAGCACCTACTCCCATGAGCCTGGCGGCTTCGTCACTGCTCTGACCTCCCAGAGTTTGGGAGATTTGAGTTAGCAAGCCCCTCACACGCTCATCTCAAGCATAGCTGGAAGCCAGAACACTTTTTGTGTGCAGCTCTACCGGGCGTGAGAGGTGAGAGGCCTTTGCAGCAGTTCTTTGGTTGGGCTCTGTTTGGTGGGTGCAGTGATTTTGGTTTTTTTCTCAAGTTAACATTCCTTAAAGAAAGTTCCACGTGATCTCCTTAAAACGCCTGCCTAGGCTCACTGGCTACCCCTTGAGTTGCGAAATCCCCATGTGCTCGCCAGAAGACAAGCTTTGTTTGGCATGCTTCTGCTACGGCAACTTTGGAGAAAGTGCAGAGCAGCAGCACCTACTCCGTAAAAGCGGAAGCACATGAGCCTGGCGGCTTCGTCACTGCTCTGACCTCCCAGAGTTTGGGAGATTTGAGTTAGCAAGCCGCTCACAAGCTCATCTCAAGCATAGCTGGAAGCCGGAACACTTTCCGCCTGCAGCTCTACCGGGCGTGAGAGGTGAGAGGCCTTTGCAGCAGTTCTTTGGTCGGGCTCTGTTTGGTTGGTGTTGTGATTTTGGTTTTTTTCTCAAGTTAACATTCCTTAAAGAAAGGTTCCACGTGATCTCCTTAAAACGCCTGCCTAGGCTCACTGGCTACCCCTTGTGTTGCGAAATCCCCATGTGCTCGCCGGAAGACAAGCTTTGTTTGGC